AATTTATTTTATATTAAATAAAAAAATTTTAACTTTATACAAAAATATATAAAATGTCATGTATAAAGATAATGTTTCATTGTATAAAATAATTAATAAATAAAAGACATAATTTTAAACAAAATTAATTAACAAATTCTCATAAAAATTTATGAATTTTCGTATAAAAAAATAAATTATGTTTGCTTATTTTAATTGCGTGAAAATAATTAAACATTTTTTAATTTTCATATTTTTAATTAATACATTTTTTTGTATTTAAAATATTTAATTACTAAAATTATTTATTTATTTATTATTTAAGTATGTAATTTGAATAAGTGTATCAAGTATCACTCATTATTATTAATTTTCTATGGAGTTTCAATTAATATTTAAACTTAATTATTAAAATAAGTTTGTAATATTCTCGTTTTTAATTTTTAAGTTAAATTTTTACGTTATTTATAAATAAAATTATTTATCTTTACGTAAACAAATCGTGAACGGAACTTTGATTTTGTCACTGAGGTTAAGGGAAATTTGGGGGTTCGATTTACGACCACTCGTTTAACGACCGAGCTAATTACGTCGTAAAAGCGGGGTTTACTTATATTTAGTCATACAATTAAACTTAATTACTCGGAGTATACTATGTTCATTTGTATAACTAAGTATAAGTAAACCCCACTTTTACGACCTAATTGATTCGGTCGTTTAACGAGACGTCGTAAATCGAACTCTAATTTCCACCACGCTTAATGAGATTATTTCTGGCAATAGAATTTAAATTTAAGTTTTAATTATTTAATATAATACCGAAACACAAAAATATTCGGTAATTAAATATGATATTTCATTAAATCGTATATTTAGAAATCTATAACCGTCGTAAAAGCGGGGTTTACTACATTTCGTTCTCTTCACGAATTCGGAAACTCGCATATAATGCGCATCCCTGGTTATAAAAGTATAGATAAAAAATTGTACTTTTTAAATAATTAATTTATCTCATTTAATTCATTTAGTTTTATTTCTTAAATTTCTTATTATAAATTAATTTTATTTGTGTTGATTATAATAGGCTATAAATAATTCGGTCGTGTGTTAAGTAACAATTAAAATATAAATTTTAAAGCATAAATTCGATATATAGAAGAAGACGAAGATAGTGAAAATGATAAAGACAGAGGAAAGAAGGCAAAGGAAGAAAATGATGATTGAAGAATAGGAAATCGCGACGATGACAGTAATGATAATACAGATGATGATGATGATGAAGAGAAAGATAGAAAAAATTATGATGACAGTGATGAAAGAAAAGCAGATAATAGTGATCATAAAGAAGAGAATAATTATGATGATGTGAAAGAAAATGACGATGAGAATGTTTTTAATCCCAGATAAGTGCTGAACGCACGTTCTTCAATTTTTCAACATTATAATTTAAATAATTTGTGTTTTCAGTTGCATCAGATAATTATTCTAAGTTACATTAATAATTAATTTATAATTTTTTAAATATTAAACTAATTAATTCTACTGTTTTGAATTTTTATACTTGTTTTATATACTGTATTATGTTGAAATTTTTGACACTAGAGGGCATTAGATTTCGTCCCTCTACGACTGTAATAAGAGATAAATTCAGAAAATCACGTATAGTGCGCGCTCTTTGTCATAAAAGTAGCGTTATATTTAATCTCGATTTTAAAAATAAAGATATTAATGATAAAGTTAATGAGTTATAAGTTTATATAATAAGTAATTACCAGTAATTTTTTATGTAAATTAAATAAAAACTTTAATTAATTAATTATTTTTCTTTATATTTAAAATACGAACTAAAAAATTGTTGGTGTAAATAGCTGCTTAAAGAACAATTTTATTTTTTTATTTTCTGGTAAGAAAAACGAATATTTGTTTATATTTTTTAATTAAATAGTTTAAAAATTTAAGAGAAAATAGTAATAATATTTTTTAAATTCGTTATATTTAGATATATTAATTGCCATAAAGATATAATAATAATCATCATACGGCAGTATCAATTGATGCTGCTTTTAATTATATATTTAAAGCTGAATCTTCTATTTAAAAAATCGTGTTAATTATTAGAATTTTTAAATTATACTTTTTCATTATAAATGGGGGAATCAAATAGGAATCTTAGATAATTCCTGAAAGAATTTCCAAGCGATTCTTTCCAAATAATTAAGTACAGAAAGCTAATAAAGTTAGAATATTTTCCTGTTGTGTAAAACTGCAAATATATCAACTCAGATCTTTAATACGAACTTGATCTTCTTGAAATGATGCGCATTATACGGGATTTTTTGTTTTAAAGTACAGTAAGTTCTTGATATAACTCTTGAGGAAATAAGTAAATCATTCACTAAATCGAGAGTTCATTATATACGTATAGAATTGCTAAAACCAATAAAATTATTCACTATATCAAGTGTGTGTGTATCGTATATGTTTCTTACTTATAATTAATTCAAAATAAACTGAATAACTTCGAGTTATTTATTTTTAATATTCATTTATAAGCTGAATTTTTCGAATATAAACTGTATTTTTTCTTGTTATTATTTAAATTTTTTTGTATCCATTTACAGTTTTATGTAGTTTATTTTCGTGTTTTCTATATATATAGAATCAAATGTGAACGAACATACGAACGGGCTATTTTAATATAGAATGAATGAGTCAGGAAGTTATAGCATATGGTACTTTGTATCGATTCTAATAACGCGATACATAATTATGTTATTGAATAAAATAGGAAGGTATTGTTATTGATTTTCAATGGAATTATTCGTGAGGAAACTACTTTACGTTACAATAATGAGAAGGAAGTTGTCATGGGATGAGGTCCTGTAGTGATTATAAAGAAATTAACTGTATCATAATAATGGTGTAGGAAGCAATAGATACTTAGTTATATGAAGAAAATAAGTATCATGTCGAATATAAATAAGCTAATAATTATTACATCGATTAGGCGTAAGATAATGGTACTGATACTGATCATATTGATATTAGTTTCATATTGGAGGAGGAATAGATTCATAGTGATTGTAATTAAAGCATTATTACACCACTCACAAAGGAAGCAACAACATCATAATTTATCTTGGAGAAGATGAAAGATCTATTACAATTATACTGTTTTCATAGTTATATATATATATATATACGATTGTGAATGAGATAACAATTAAAGTATTTGTTATAGTATATATGCTAAAAGCTGATATAATACAATGATTATGAAAGACTTAACAATATCACAATGATTGTTAAGCAGTAGAAAATTATATCTTTTTACAAGGCTTTTTACAATTTTACAATAGCAATGATAGCGAATGAAGTTAATGTTTTGTATTCAATATGAAGGTGGAACGGTATCATACGAATGGGATAAAGCAATTAACAGTTTCTTAGCAATCTTAAAGAAGGTCTGTGTTATAACGAAGGTGGTGACAATGCTATAGTAATCATAAAGAAGATAAACTCTACAATATATTGATCATGAAATAGATATGGAATGTCCAATGCTCGAGCTCCATTACAAATAACACAGCATTTTTAAATGTATGTTTATGAAACATGGATATTACTTTAATTAGCTGTTATGTCTTAGTGTTCGTGTTCACTGTAGGCACTTGTAAAATGGAGTCATTAGACATCCCATATCTTCACGGTCTCTAATTAGCAAGACGTAGAAGAAATTATCAGTAGTTGCTGCGAAAATAAAGAAATGTAAGGTCTATAATCTGTCTTAAATATATAGGCCTATTACTAGTAAAAAAACCATAATAATTACAAAAACCATATTTTAATTGCTACCAATCGGCTTTATTTGATTCCAGGAAGACCAGCAACCTGTTAATTCGTGAGATTTGATAGAACAATCCACTTTTTTTTTTTTTACTAAAAATGAAATCATATCAAACCACAACATTCTTTCTTACGATGATACTTTCAATGGGATCTTAGTGCATGTTTATTAAATCTGCATGGCAGTGTACAAAGAAAAATAAAAGCGATATTCTAAACTCAAACGTATATATTTTTAAAATTAAAACGCGATGTAACAATTAACCTTTTGTTTTTTCTTAAAAATCAAACATAGTAATTTGGTCACAATGACAAAAATAATAATAGATAATTTAACATAATAATTTGGTCACAATGACATAAAATAGATAATTTATGTATGTATATATATATTTATGTATATATATATATATATATATAATTTGTTGATGTCTATCGTAAGAATATCACAAGAATTCAGAAATTCATTCTAGAAATATAAATCTTTCGATTTAGCATAACAGATCATAAGAAGATGTAAGTAGTTCTGTGTTTTTTCTTTCTTATATTTAAATAAATTGATATGTATATTATTTAAATTAATACATATGAAACTCAGAAATTTGCAATGGAACCTATGGTGATCGGTCGCGCTAAATGCAGGCAAATTCTGCAAATTTATAATGTACACATGTTTAAAAATAACTGATTAAAAGTCACAGAGTGAGTGACTAATGATATATATTATATATGTATATATAGATAAGGGAAGAAACAATGCCTTTTTTTAATAAAATTTTTTTGTTTTTTCGTTTTTTAAAAGAAATGTCTTCCCGTATCACCGGTTCGATATCACATAATAAACCATTTGGCATTGACAGTCTAGAAAGAATAGGCTTTGTTGATATGCAGCGAGAACGCTTGACAAGTGCACGAGGGACAAGCACACCCGTCCCGAACTATACGTCTCTGTCAGGGACACACTCCAAGATTATCATTTACATCAACATAGCCTCCTTTCTGTTCATTAGTCAAGCGAATTTCTTCAGTTTCAGATTATGTCACTAGATGGCGCCTTCTTCCGTGTTTTCGGTGGTAAAGGTGGTTCCTTGGGCTTCTTACCAATACCTTTAGGAGGCAATGGAGGTTTCATACGTGGATCGGGTATTTTGCCCAATTTAATGTCGTCATACATATCGGCGTATAAGAGATCATCATTGATGTCCGGGCGGAATGGCTGGAAAACAGTACAAATTTATTATAAAAAAGTGACATTTTATGATCGTGTACCTTATAATTTTAGTATTTTTTCGGGTCGGGGTGAAATTAGTATCCATTCATTCAGATTTCTGCCATACTCACATGATTTGTATCCGTATCTGTCTTTATCGAATGTCAGTTTTGCATATTCTATAGCAGGATCTTTTCTGTTAGAATCTTTAGAATTTATAGGTGTAAGGGATAAATCTGAGTACAATATTGCTGTCGAGTTAGTAGGAAGCTGCAAGTGACACATGCAACTAACATTTTTAAACATGTTAAACAATAGATTAGTCTGGTAAATCACTAAGAACAAAGCAATTGCCCGTTAAAAATGGGTAATAAACTATAATTTAAAACGATCACTCACCCCTTTGGTTCGACCAAAAAAGGGCATGTTCTCATACATCGGTTTAGATTCTGATTCTGATAGACCATTCTCCTTATGATCAGCCGCTTCGATATTTTGATACAGAGTTTCTGGTGCAGCAGCCTTGGCAGCACTTGCATCTAGAAGAAATAATAAAGATTTAAATTAGAATATGAAAATTTTATCTGAAAAACCGATTTCTACCCTTCCAGATCTCATCATTGATAAACAAGAAATTGAACAAAACAGACCTGCTATCGAACGCAATCTCCTCCTTTTGTCTTCCATTCGTCTTAATGTGGTCACTAAGAGAATAGTTAGTTTGGTCAATATATGAGTTCTTGATTAGAAACTGATGACTAATTCTATTCTATCTTTTCTTAAGTGATTAGACACGAATGTTATCGGCTCGTTAAAGTTAATTATGAAATTCTTACATTGGCCTTCTTAACACATGGAACTTATTGATTAAGTTTAAAGTGGCTATAAGCAGGGAAAATTACTTTTTTATGAAGTTAATCTTACTAATATTGATAACAGGTATATTAAAATTTTAGTAGACATTCCGTTTCGTGTCCTTTTAAAGTTATAAACGAGAAAATTTTAAAATTAATTTCTAATAATTGTAAATTAATATCGTTAACTTTCGAATTAATTCGTAATCTTAGAACGATCTTAATATGCGATAAAGATTTAAAGGATATAAAATTTTCCTACTTATTAGCCATGTTAAAATTGTATTAAAAATTATAAAATTAAGCTTTAAAGATGATTTTAAAAGTACCTGCGTTAGTATTTTTAAGTATAGGACTTCCATTTGTTTGAATTGTAACATGCACTTGTTGCTTGGGCATTCCGGTTTGAAGCTGGGTATCGCTGTTACAATTAATTTGATTAGTTAATTCGGATTATTTACAATTAAAATTTAGCATTTAAAAATGAATTTTCTTAACGTAACATTATGCGATTTTGATTTCTTATACAAAAAAAATCCAGGAAAATGTGATTTGAATTGGAATCAGGATCCAAATTGAGTCGATTTTAGCCCATTCTATCTTACTTTCTTGATTGATTCAAATACTTTTTTCTGAGATAAAGAATGTAAGATTGGCTCTAATGTCCGTCCATTCTACTTTTTTGTTTATTTTTTTACTTTTACTTTTAGAGAAAAAGCTTTTACAAATAGGCTATTGTATGTCACCGATATTGGATATTCTGTAAAAGTTTCCTGTAAAAACATACTTTTCTACCTTTAAAAAAAAATACCAATAAATATTAAATTGAGATTTTTAAAAATTAAAATTATACATTTTAAAAGTTGAGTTTATAAAAGAATAAATAAATAAAATAAAAATATTTTATTATCGTTTTATTCAAGAAAATGCAAATCTCCATCAAATGATAAGTGATGCGGAACAGAAGAATTAAATTAATATAATATATAAATAATTTTAATTAAAAAAATTATTAATTCTTGTTTAATAAAAAATTATTTCGAGTAAACTTTATATTTTTAATAGAGAAAAAAAAATCTAAAATAAAAACGTTGTTCCTTAACTTTGCTTGGAAAATAAACATTGCGCTTGGATGGAGTTAGATTTTGTTAATTTTTTATTTCATGATTCTTTTCTTTGTTTTTTCTAACATTCAACAGAAATATATTTCAAGGAAAAAAAGGAAATAAATGTGTTAAAATAGAAAAAACAAGTAAAATTCTTTACTTTTTTAGAAAATTCTTTTGTATAAAACCTCTTCTAAGTTGTAATATAGTTTGTTAAAATTTAATTATTCTCCATAAAAAATTAAAATTTTATAGAAATAAATACTAAAAAAATAATTTTTAATAATATAAAAATTTGTTAAAATTTATTTATTTAATTTTTAATTTAGAATAATCATGAATATTAATTAATTGTAACATTTTTTAGATTATTTTAAAACGTTTTTTTTTAATTCTATTTTGTTCATAAATAAAAAATCGGTTTTTTATTAAAAAATATAATTTAAGTAAATAAATTTTAATTAAAATGACATCTTTAGAAGAATTTATCTTATTCCTAACGATTTTAGGATTTAATAATTCGCATTGTTAATAATAAATCCTGTACATTTTATAATATAATATGATTAATTATTCGTTTATAAGTCTATTTTAACTTTTAAGAGATAAAAAAATTAATTTTATTATATTAAATACGCCATATATGCATTACAAATGCTGTTCTTGTTATGTGTATAGTTAATTGGAATTAGTTACACTTACTGAGATGGATTATTGAAATATTTCCTGACTATAATTTTATAACTTCTCCTACATCAAGTTTTAGAATTATCATTTATTACATTCAGCCATCTGGAAATAGCATTCTTATTATAATCAATACCAATGCTGTTTCCAGATGTGTGAATGTTATTTATATCATATGAATAAAATATATATATTTTCTAGAGAATTTTTTCTTGTTTTTACTCTGACAATTGATATATACACGAATTTTTAATTAATTTTTATATATTTAATAAATATAGACGCGTATTTCATGTTAAAGATGCGTCCGGATTTTTGTATAATCGTTGATATTATATTTTGTTCATTGTCATTACTAATTAAAATATTTTATCGACAATATTTATTATTTAATATTTGAAATATAAATTTTATAAAACTATAAATATCATCGATAAAATGTTTTAATTAATAATGATTATGAATAAAATATATAATGTCAACGATTCTACAAAAATCCGGACGCATCTGTAGCATAAAAACATATAAATATATCGATCTAATTTGTTTTAAAATTAAATTAAAATTTAAACTTTAATGTTTAAAATTTAAATTTTAAAAAAGTTTATATCAAATTAATTTGTTTATAAAATTAAATATTTATATTTTCATGTTATAGATGCGTTCGGATTTCTGTAGAATTGTTGACGCTATACATTTTATTTACAGTCATTACTTATTAAATATATATGTATTTGTCGACTATATTTACTGTTTAATGTTTGAGATTTAAATTTTATAAAAAGTTATTTAATTTTATAAAATGATTAAATCCATATATTCATATGTTTTTATTCTACATATGCGTCCGGATTTTTGTAGACAGATAAAATTCCTAAAGAAGACGAATATATATATTTTTTATAAACAAATTTTTCATGCTTTAAAAAGTTGAAATTTTATAAATATAATAATTTAATATGTTTAAAATTATATATTTTGTGTTAATAGATGTGTCTAGATTTTGTAGAATCGCTTACGTTCCTATAATAAATGGGCCTATCTGAAATGAATTGTTACAGATAGACTTTAATGGCTTAAACTTTCAGTTGATAGCTGATAGAAGCACTTATCAACGTAAAGATACAATTTAGTTTAGATAGATGAATAAGATTTTTCAACTGATAACACGTAAAAATGCTTAGAAGGTCATCAACAAATGTCAAAATTTAAGAAAAATGTAAGCCTATAAGCAAAAATTTATTAGTTTTTCTGAAAGTTGTAACGATTTTTAAAACAGTAAAACTATCAATTTCTAATGGAAATTTAAAGGTACAAATTATAATCTCTGTATAATTAAGTACAATTTAATCTCACAATTCTAACACATTTAATGACTGTTTAATTCATTTTTTATNCTTTTAATATTTGAAATATAAATTTTATAAAACTATAAATATCATCGATAAAATGTTTTAATTAATAATGATTATGAATAAAATATATAATGTCAACGATTCTACAAAAATCCGGACGCATCTGTAGCATAAAAACATATAAATATATCGATCTAATTTGTTTTAAAATTAAATTAAAATTTAAACTTTAATGTTTAAAATTTAAATTTTAAAAAAGTTTATATCAAATTAATTTGTTTATAAAATTAAATATTTATATTTTCATGTTATAGATGCGTTCGGATTTCTGTAGAATTGTTGACGCTATACATTTTATTTACAGTCATTACTTATTAAATATATATGTATTTGTCGACTATATTTACTGTTTAATGTTTGAGATTTAAATTTTATAAAAAGTTATTTAATTTTATAAAATGATTAAATCCATATATTCATATGTTTTTATTCTACATATGCGTCCGGATTTTTGTAGACAGATAAAATTCCTAAAGAAGACGAATATATATATTTTTTATAAACAAATTTTTCATGCTTTAAAAAGTTGAAATTTTATAAATATAATAATTTAATATGTTTAAAATTATATATTTTGTGTTAATAGATGTGTCTAGATTTTGTAGAATCGCTTACGTTCCTATAATAAATGGGCCTATCTGAAATGAATTGTTACAGATAGACTTTAATGGCTTAAACTTTCAGTTGATAGCTGATAGAAGCACTTATCAACGTAAAGATACAATTTAGTTTAGATAGATGAATAAGATTTTTCAACTGATAACACGTAAAAATGCTTAGAAGGTCATCAACAAATGTCAAAATTTAAGAAAAATGTAAGCCTATAAGCAAAAATTTATTAGTTTTTCTGAAAGTTGTAACGATTTTTAAAACAGTAAAACTATCAATTTCTAATGGAAATTTAAAGGTACAAATTATAATCTCTGTATAATTAAGTACAATTTAATCTCACAATTCTAACACATTTAATGACTGTTTAATTCATTTTTTATTAATAAAAATATAATATATATTTTATATATAAATATTGACGTGTATACTACACAATTTAATACATTTTCTTGCGTATAACCCGCGGGTTATCTGTGATTTTAAGATAGTTTGGTTGATAAGTTTACTGTATTGATCTTACTTATTAATTTTTTATAAATTAAATGGGATAATTATTTAAGTATTTTTAAGATTGCATAATATTACGTTATAGAAATCATTTGTTAGTGTGGTTTTTGATGTTAGTCGAGTGTTCTTACCTTTGCAATTCCTCCATACAAGGTTTGCAAATGACTGAAAAGCAAATACTGATCAAAATCCAAGTAAAATAATAGAAATTACCTTCCAAAATAGGACAAATATAAAGAGTTACGAACTTACAAAACAAAGAAAAAAAATATATTATTTTAATTTTTTTTAATTAACATTAAAAATATCAATTAAATACCCGTTTCTTAATAAAAAAATTTTAATTAAAAATCTAAAATTAATTTTAAAAATTCCGATGTAAATAAAGTTAATCATTAAAATAAATCTACATGTTTCATTAATTAGGGATTTTTATGAATCATTTATTTGAAATTAATTCCGTATTTAAATTGCAAAATTGCTAATTAAGAAAATATTCTGATAATTAAAACTTGATTAAATTTTGATTTATTTTTTTAATATTAAATATTTTTTAACATTAAAATTACGTTTAAACGAATTTAATATTAAATAGCATGAAATTTTCTGAATTTATGAACTAGAGCACTAATACAGCAATTGTATTTATTATAACAGTCTAGAGTTGGCCTCCAATAAGGGGGGCTTCTTACCTCGTAGACGGAGAATTTTTCTTTATTAATAAACTAACATTAGTGTAACAGTAACTACACTAAATAGTTGTTGTATATTGTATCAATAATAATAATATTGTATACTATTGTTACATTTATACTATTCAAGATTATATATACTGCTATTACAATAATAAAAGTATCAATACTACATAGTATTAATACAATAATAGCTACAGTATTGAATAGTATAAGCACAACAATAGTAACAGGGCCTGATTAATATTTTTAAAGGCTCTAAACACTTAAAATACTTTGATGCCCCATATACTGTAATTCAAAATATAAACAATTATAAAATGAAACGAGCAATTATTTTATTGTGACATTATCACAATTTTAATCATATTTTTCATTTATTTAATTTCAATTATATGCTTTCCACCTGAAATTAGTAGTGTCTTGTCCCTGTACATCATACTTCTCCTGCTAGCAACAGAGTCCTGCTAGTCGTATATCTGGCTCTATTTATGGGAAACTTTTTGAATTGAAGTAACGTGACGTCCGGTGCAAATCGGAAGTTTGCTCATGGTTAATCGGTGCCTTCCTATCCCTAAGCTTTTCATTTCTGATTTCGACTTTCATCTGTCTAACTTCGTTCGCGAGATTAAGGAAAGACAGGCAGACAACAAAGGGAATTTATAACGTCTATAATTTTTTTTTTCAAATACTAGCCGAATAAAATTTTATTTTCGAAATGAATGACACCAACAAATACTAATTTCTTCATTTATTCTGGGACCATGCTTCAATTGTACTATTTGCGGTTTTGCACCACATGCCCCAAAGTCAACCCCATCAGGCAATATAAAATTTCTGGTGTCCCTTTCCTTGATGCTCCAAATATTTTTCTTAACGATTAATCCAACCACGAACAGTAAAAATACCGAATATTATTAACAAATCTATAGTTCTGTTATAGAATTCGTCATTGCAATTATTATCTTATTATGATTACTCTAAACCGAAATCATTACTAAAGGGAAAAATTAATTGTAAACATAATTACAAAAATACAGTCCAGGGCTAACTCCTAAAAGTGAAGTTCGTTAAAACGAATAATCTCATAACGATAAAACGAAGTAATATAAGAAAGAAACTCACCAGCACGTCTTCTCCTCCTCATCAAAATAATGATCACAACGATGATTATGAGGAACAGAATAGCAATACCACCAACAATTGCAGCTATGATAAATATCTTCTTTTCACCAGTTTCTGGATCCCAAATTGTGTCTCCATAACCTTAAAATATATATATTTAATTATAATTAAATTCAAAAAATCCAAGTTTTAATTCAGCTTCGTAAAATAGAATTAAATTTTTTTTCTATGTATTCAGCATTTGTATCTAGCGCAGTTATGGAGTTATGTAAATGACTCTTAAAAAAATATCATTAAAATTATTTTATGAGGCATAAATAATCTTTTGAACAAGATAATCATAATATATTTTTATTTTATTTTTTCATGAATCATCATCTGATGAATAAGGCTCATAAATATTAATAATGGAAACCACCAAAATATCTCAATAAAATTTTTATTATTTTCTTTCCCCTTTATAATATATATTTGAAATTTAATATGCATAAAATCGCAAGTCAACGTTTTCAAAAATACATTTTAAGAAATCAATTTTAATTTTACTCTTTTTAATTGATTCGATTATAAATTTAAGTTTATATTTTTTTAAAGATGGTTACAGAGCTTCTACTATTGTGAAATTAAAATTTTTTGGTTTAATTTTTCAAATAATTAAATAAATAATATAATTAATTTTATATTATATAGTTAAAGTGTGTTAAATAATTAGAAAATTGATTTAATTGCGATTAAAATGGAGACTTTTCTTAAATTTTATTGAAGTTTTAAAATATGAGTACGTGAAATCACTGTTATTAGTATGCTTTTTTTCCACAAATTTTGTAGACAGACAACCGTACAAATTATAACACGAGTAGAAAATTATAATAAATCTAATAAAGAATGGACAAAATTAACTTGAAAAAAATGTTTATAATTTAAATATTTTTAAGTTAAATTAATTTTTATTGAATTTTTTTTAGTATAAAATTAAAAACTTGTTCAAAATTATACCTTAAAATTATTGAATAAAATTTATTAAAAATGATTATCTACTAAAATATACAGTTTAAAATATATTTTTAATGTACTCAATATAATATTTTGTTAATTATAGAAATAAGATTTAAATCTTAAGCTACTTATAANGCGATTACCTATAACTAAACGAAATAAAATCAATTTTCATAGAAAAATTTATTGTTGTAGAACAAAAGCAATGCTGTGCAATAATAAGATGATGATAATATTACATTATCTTTAACACTGATTCATCTTAAGGGATAATTTATGTAATTGTAATTTAATTTTATAAACAAGTATAAAATATACAATGTTATTTATTTTATAATTACGCAAATATTTGTTAAATTAATGCCGAATTGATAATCAATATCTTATATAATGTATATAGAAGAATTATTGCTTTATTGCGCCTTATTGCTCAGTAAAGAACTAATAATAACTAATGCATTATTGTGACATCTTCACAATACCGGCTGCAATATTTAATTTAAAAATCATGTAACTTCCGGTCCAGATAGGAATTTCTTATATACTTAATCAGGGCCTCCGGGCCCAAACTTTTGCTATCTGGTCTCGATTTTCGTCTATCTTATTCCATTCTTGAGATTAATGAAGGACGAATGGTTAGACAAACGGACAGACGGACAATAGTAAGAATCTATAGGTTTGCAATTTAAAAATTACAACCTAATAATGCCCAGTTAGTGCACGTGGTGGATTAAGACTTACGTGGCCCTATGCACAGAATAATGGGGTCCTCCACATAATTTTACTACATCGTAAACAAATGACGTAGGTATAAAATTATTTATAAATTATAATATACAATGCAACAGTAAAATTAATTAATTCTTTTTTAATTTCGGGGTCCTAATGTGTGCCTCACGTGCCTAGCAGGCACTGCACTCAATTAATAATACTTATCATTTTTTAAATTATCACTCGATAATTATTATTAAATTAATAAACAATCAGTCTTTATGTTTTTATTTTTTTAACTGCTTTATCCTCCGTATTTTATTGTAATAATGGTTAAGCACAATTAAACTTCAACAAGATTAATGCGATTATAATACCTACTTAAAAAAAGTTATAAACTTATTATTTAATNAGAATTATAAAATGAAACGAGCAATTATTTTATTGTGACATTATCACAATTTTAATCATATTTTTCATTTATTTAATTTTAATTATATGCTTTCCACCTGAAATTAGTAGTGTCTTGTCCCTGTACATCATACTTCTCCTGCTAGCAACAGAGTCCTGCTGGTCGTATATCTGGCTCTTTTTAGGGGAACTTTTTGAATTGAAGTAACGTGACGTCCGGTGCAAATCGGAAGTTCGCTCATGGTTAATCGGTGCCCTCCTACCCCTAAGCTTTCCATTTCTGGTTTCGACTTTCATCTGTCTAACTTCGTTCGCGAGATTAAGGAAAGACAGGCAGACAACAAAGGGAATTTATAACGTCTATAATTTTTTTTTCAAATACTAGCCGAATAAAATTTTATTTTCGAAATGAATGACACCAACAAATACTAATTTCTTCATTTATTCTGGGACCATGCTTCAATTGTACTATTTGCGGTTTTGCACCACATGCCCCAAAGTCAACCCCATCAGGCAATATAAAATTTCTGGTGTCCCTTTCCTTGATGCTCCAAATATTTTTCTTAACGATTAATCCAACCACGAACAGTAAAAATACCGAATATTATTAACAAATCTATAGTTCTGTTATAGAATTCGCCATTGCAATTATTATCTTATTATGATTACTCTAAACCGAAATCATTACTAAAGGGAAAAATTAATTGTAAACATAATTACAAAAATACAGTCCAGGGCTAACTCCTAAAAGTGAAGTTCGTTAAAACGAATAATCTCATAACGATAAAACGAAGTAATATAAGAAAGAAACTCACCAGCACGTCTTCTCCTCCTCATCAAAATAATGATCACAACGATGATTATGAGGAACAGAATAGCAATACCACCAACAATTGCAGCTATGATAAATATCTTCTTTTCACCAGTTTCTGGATCCCAAATTGTGTCTCCATAACCTTAAAATATATATATTTAATTATAATTAAATTCAAAAAATCCAAGTTTTAATTCAGCTTCGTAAAATAGAATTAAATTTTTTTTCTATGTATTCAGCATTTGTATCTAGCGCAGTTATGGAGTTATGTAAATGACTCTTAAAAAAATATCATTAAAATTATTTTATGAGGCATAAATAATCTTTTGAACAAGATAATCATAATATATTTTTATTTTATTTTTTCATGAATCATCATCTGATGAATAAGGCTCATAAATATTAATAATGGAAACCACCAAAATATCTCAATAAAATTTTTATTATTTTCTTTCCCCTTTATAATATATATTTGAAATTTAATATGCATAAAATCGCAAGTCAACGTTTTCAAAAATACATTTTAAGAAATCAATTTTAATTTTACTCTTTTTAATTGATTCGATTATAAATTTAAGTTTATATTTTTTTAAAGATGGTTACAGAGCTTCTACTATTGTGAAATTAAAATTTTTTGGTTTAATTTTTCAAATAATTAAATAAATAATATAATTAATTTTATATTATATAGTTAAAGTGTGTTAAATAATTAGAAAATTGATTTAATTGCGATTAAAATGGAGACTTTTCTTAAATTTTATTGAAGTTTTAAAATATGAGTACGTGAAATCACTGTTATTAGTATGCTTTTTTTCCACAAATTTTGTAGACAGACAACCGTACAAATTATAACACGAGTAGAAAATTATAATAAATCTAATAAAGAATGGACAAAATTAACTTGAAAAAAATGTTTATAATTTAAATATTTTTAAGTTAAATTAATTTTTATTGAATTTTTTTTAGTATAAAATTAAAAACTTGTTCAAAATTATACCTTAAAATTATTGAATAAAATTTATTAAAAATGATTATCTACTAAAATATACAGTTTAAAATATATTTTTAATGTACTCAATATAATATTTTGTTAATTATAGAAATAAGATTTAAATCTTAAGCTACTTATAAAAAAATTTTTTAAATTTTTTAAAGAATATTTCAGGTTTGACCACGTTCTTCATACCAAATTTAACTTTATAATTTCTTATTACAGTGAAAATATTAACTTATTATAGGTTAACTTTTAGAATAAAAATTATTTTAAAAATATGATTAAATTTATTTTATAATTACGCAAATATTTGTTAAATTAATGCCGAATTGATAATCAATATCTTATATAATGTATATAGAATTATTGCTTTATTGCGCCTTATTGCTCAGTAAAGAACTAATAATAACTAATGCATTATTGTGACATCTTCACAATACCGGCTGCAATATTTAATTTAAAAATCATGTAACTTCCGGTCCAGATAGGAATTTCTTATATACTTAATCAGGGCCTCCGGGCCCAAACTTTTGCTATCTGGTCTCGATTTTCGTCTATCTTATTCCATTCTTGAGATTAATGAAGGACGAATGGTTAGACAAACGGACAGACGGACAATAGTAAGAATCTATAGGTTTGCAATTTAAAAATTACAACCTAATAATGCCCAGTTAGTGCACGTGGTGGATTAAGACTTACGTGGCCCTATGCACAGAATAATGGGGTCCTCCACATAATTTTACTACATCGTAAACAAATGACGTAGGTATAAAATTATTTATAAATTATAATATACAATGCAACAGTAAAATTAATTAATTCTTTTTTAATTTCGGGGTCCTAATGTGTGCCTCACGTGCCTAGCAGGCACTGCACTCAATTAATAATACTTATCATTTTTTAAATTATCACTCGATAATTATTATTAAATTAATAAACAATCAGTCTTTATGTTTTTATTTTTTTAACTGCTTTATCCTCCGTATTTTATTGTAATAATGGTTAAGCACAATTAAACTTCAACAAGATTAATGCGATTATAATACCTACTTAAAAAAAGTTATAAACTTATTATTTAATAGGATTAGTTAATAAGATTAATTATTATTAAATATAATAAGAAATACTACTTTTTAAGCAACAGAATATTGGAATTTTATTCTCATGAGTTCCATTAGAACACGTCAAATGTTTATAATATTGACTTTCTACGCTTTTAATAATTCAATTATACAAAAAAATATTATCCATTTACGTTTTTTTTAATTGAAAAAATGTCATTTTTACTTTAAAAATAAGAAATAAAGTTAAAAAATATATAAAATTACTAATTAAAATTGTTAAAAAGTATAATTTTAAAATAAATTAATTTGTTCGTGTAAAAATATCTTTAAAATTCTTATATCAAGAAGAAAATTAGTCAAAATAATTTAATTTAATTTAATTATTTTATTAAAAACCTATTTAATGAAATAACTCAATTAAATTATTCTGAAATTAAATTTTTTGCATTAATTTAATTTATTTTAATTGGATTCTTTAAGTCAAAACAAAGAAATAATATCAAAATAAACAAATTAATATAAGGCGAAGTAAATTTCTAATTTTTTAATTTATATAAATTATATTTTTTAATAAATATTTTAAAAAATTGTTTTCTATAAAGTTAAATACGTTAAATTAAATTAAAGATTTGGCTCTATTCACTTCTCCATATTAAATGATATAGACGCAATAAATAGAGCAGTGTATAAGATGATAATTGTAATGATTTTAAAGTTTGATATGTTAATTAATTATAGAATTTTTATTAAAATTATTAATTAATATACTTATAACAATTCCCTTTGTTGACTGTTGCATGAAGGTTAAACACGATAGGAATTTGAACAGTTACTTGAAACAATATTAATCACAGGAGAATAAGCAATTGTATAGATTTCAATACTGTTCGTATGCAATAATGCAATGATGACATCAATAGGAAATTTCGCTCCGATCCTTAGTAATTTTCTAACTAAAATTATCGCATCTCAGCATTATACAGTGAGCTAGACACAGGATAACGTGGATAAAAATATAGAAAAATGAAGATAAAATAATCAAATCGATGAATTAATGATGCTGGATGTTGTTATCTTTCAGGTTGACAACAAATTATTCCTTATCAATAAGTCAATTTTTCATAAATCGATGTGAAAATATCGAACTTTGAAGCACTTTTCAACAACGTTTGCACGTTTATTAAATAATAAAACTTAAAATATTCATAAATAATTAAATTTATAACGTTTAATTTACTTAACAATATAATTTATATGAGAGATAATTACACTAGAACCTCCAATAGATCACCTCTAAACAGTGGCAATTTTTTTAATAATCTGCTAACAACGGCCATTTTTAACGTTCCCATCGTGGCCGTTGTACAGAGGTTTATTGTATATAATTATTTCATTATATACTGTATTAAGCAATCAATTTATAATATAGTTAAAGCCTGTTTATTAAAGTTTTTACTGCTTAAAATATATTTTTAATCATTAAAGAATTAAATAAATGAGCTTTAAATATGTATTATCAACGCAAATAATAATAATAACAATTTTTAAAATTTATTTTTCTTTAATTATCATTAAATTTAAATATGAAAATTCTCTCATTTTTATAAAAATAATTTAATTTTAGTAATTTAAACATTGATTTTTGTAGAATATTTTTTCTCTATAGGAGAATTTTATTCAAAATTATACTTCATTATCTGCCTTTTATTAAAACGTTTACGTTAAGATTTATGGGTTGATTTTACTAAACGTCGAGAACATTAGGTCCTACAGTCCTAGATAATCTAGGTTTTGTTAGGGCCTCCTTCTAGGAATTTCAGGACAATGCTTACATTTAGATTTGTCTTTCTAAGTTGCATGTGTGTGTGTTTAAGAGGCCCTTCACCTTCTATAAAATAGTAATAAAAACGTGAGGCCGTAAACTTCATTAGCTTTTGTATAAACCTTTTCTAGCCTTCAGGATCTAGTCAGGATCCTTGTATGTCAAGTGTAGCCATTACATAAAAAAGACCTCTCGGGTCTAGGCTTATTTAGGGCCTTGTATAATCAAAACCTGTCTCTGTTGGACAGTTATTTCAGCATTTTCAACTTCGTTATTGAATCTGCATAATCTGTATGATGATTAATGAGTAATTACATTTCTAAAAAATACAAAAGTGGTTTTAAATAAATAAATATTTAATCGTTAATTAAATAATGATAAAATAATATTGTAAAAGTTTAAAATTGTATGTAAATAATTAAGATTTCATTAATGTGTATTGTGTATAAAAGACGATTTTCATGCTAAGGTATGCTTTAATTGGTCTGGTCCGTAGTGAATATTTACAATTCTCTGAATTGTTACATTATGAATTATTAAAGTGCTAATTAAGGGTTTTCCTGTTTTTAGGTCCTGTTGCCTCCCTAATCTTGTTACTTAAGATATAATTGTTTTTTTTTATAAATTAGTTACTAACGTTTATAATTAATATCTACAAAAAGTTTTGGGTGTCTCATTAAACTACTTTGTATCACGTGACACTCCCAGCAACATATTGCTAGTCTCATAGTGAGAAATTAAGCACGCAGTATGTTTATAGTAGTAGTTTTAATGATTTATTCTAGTGTTTTTGTAAAGAATCGGATGCAAAGTGCTCCTTTCTCATTAATCAACACAATAATTAGTAATTTTTATCCACGAATGGACACATGGATTTCACTAGTTTCCTACTACTGCTGGTAATACAATGATCAGTAGTAGTAAATTATTGCTACTTTCTAGTCATATCATGCTTAAAATAGTGTTAAAACTTCTATATAGAGCCAAACGTCAATGATACACTAGATAACATGAGAAAATAAGACCAGACTGTCTGAATCTGAATCAGTTAAGCTAAAGTGTTCTAAAATTAAATCTTTTAATTGTCACAAGGGGAGCAGAGGTAATTTCCGATTGTTCTTTGTCTAAAGTCTAGACAAAACGAACCCCATAAGGTCTAATGATAGTGACAAACAAAATAGTAATAACAGAACTTTAAATGGGCGAGACAAAACTTTAAATGAGCAACTTAATTTTAAACTAAAATATTCCGTGTTTGTCTT